GGGAGGAGGGGGTAGCGCGAGGGGTAGGAGGAGGTCGCGCGAGGGGGAGGAGGAGGTCGCACGGAGGTTGCATTAGGGGGAGGATGAGATCGGAAGACGGAGTGGGAGGGGGAGGAGCAGTCCGCACATGGATGGACGGATCTATCTATCTATCTATCTATCTATCTATCTATCTATCTATCTATCTATCTATCCGTCCATCCGTCCATCCATCCGTCCATCCGTCCATCCGTCCATCCATCCGTCCATCCGTCCATCCGTCCATCCATCCATCCGTCCATCCGTCCATCCGTCCGTCCGTCCATCTGTCCGTCCATCCGTTCGTCCGTCCGTCCGTCCATCCGTCCGTCCGTCCGTCCGTCCGTCCATCCGTCCGTCCGTCCGTCCATACATCCGTCCATCCGTCCATATTGGCCTTTTTTGGGGGGTTGGTCCCCCATAAGTTGGGATATAAATGTCCCTGAAAATTGGGTAGATAGATAGATAGATAGATAGGATAGATATTGCCCTTTTTGGGGGGGGGGTCCCCCATAAGTTGGGAAATATGTCAAAATGTCCCTGAAAATTGGGCGCTTTTTTTGCAATTGCACCCACCAAAGGTTGGCAACTACCGGGGCATTTTGCAAAGTTGGACGGTGTCTGGTAGGGTACATTGCAAAGATGGGGTTCAACCGATGTCTGGGGTGTTTTGCAAAATGTTTTTGCTGTCGTCCTTGACCGCAGCGTAGGTGCAGGGGGTCCACTTGTAATAATAATAATAATAATAATATAATTATTAAAAAAAAAAGGACCAATGAACATTACACCTGCATTCCGGGTAAATAAACATGAAGTCCTCAAACCGTGGCAGGGGATCAATCTTGATTCTTGAGCCTTTGAGGACTGGAAAATGGGTTGAGAAATATGGTCTGCAATTTGGTGGGAACTTCTAATGGCAGTAGCATCACCATTGTTATGTTATGATCCTGGCCAATTTCGAAGTACACATTCATCAGAAAGTACAATGCCGTCCAATTGCAAAAAGAAATGAATGAACTTGAGAGGATAGAGAGGGAAAGAAGAAGAAGAAGAAGAAGTACACCAGCAAAGACCAATGAGAATTACCTTCTTCTTTGCCAACCACTCTCCTCCTCCTTATCTCCTCCCCTCTTATTCAAACAAGAAATAATAATAATAATGTTGAATGGCTGAACCAGAATCAATGTCCGAATCCCTCTTCTACTGCAGGCATCACATGAGGTCCACCACAGCCATGACCACCCTTCTTTCTCCTTCTCTCACGGCCGAGGCTATGGCGGACTACCAGGGCACCGCCCTGCTGTGCAAAGGACAACACAAAGCAGCTATGGCTGCTCTAGCTCAGGCCGCCATGCCTGACTCTGCCTCGAAGCTTCTTGGTGCAGCTCTACCCCAACGGGGCCTTCCAGAAGCAGCGGCCACCAAGGTGATGAAGATGATATCCACCATAGCCAGGTAAGTACCTCTGGCGCTCCTCCCTCCTAGTCCTGGTCTTCTTCCTCCTCCTGTCCTTGCTCCTCCCCAGCAGCGCTGCTCCAGCCAGCACTCCAACCAGTGTGTCGCCAAACTTGCACACTGACAATGAGGTGGAGCACTCGGGCACGAGGCTTGCTAGGGGCCACAACCCAGAACACTTGTATGTCTGATAAGGGCTCTGTGAGGCTCATTCCTCGCGCTGATGTCCAGGTGCATTAAAAATCCTGGCGGATGGCAAGTGCTGCAACTAGGTCCTATTCAAGCTCCTAGCTTTAGACAGAGCCTGTGAGCTTCTCCTTTTTCGGCAAAGACAAATACAGGAAGAAGAAGAATAGGCAAGAATTACAGATAAGGAAGTGTTAACAAAAAGGAGAGTCTGACAGAATTTTGAAATGGTAACATTTCGTCAATCTGCCACTTGTGCGACTCGTCGGTTGGATATGCAGGATGTTCTCTCCCAAGGAAGATGGAGTAATTCGCAAGTTCGCTGCAGAAATTTTTGGCTGTCTGAACCCAAGGGTGAGCTCAAGTTTTAAATTTCCTAGTTGGAGAGAGAGAGAGAGAGAGAGAGAGAGAGAGAGAGNAGAGAGAGAGAGAGAGAGAGAGAGAGAGAGAGAGAGAGAGAGAGAGAGAGAGAGAGAGAGAGAGTTTGACATTGGAAAATCCGGGTAGTCCTATGGGATATGAACATGGAGACCAGCGAAGTACATTGTTTGGGTTTTGTTCAATTGTGTGGAACTTTCACCTGCTTAAAATGTACATTGTGTGGTTTCAAACTTCATCAGTTTATGTAGAACCTCCACCTGTGTTAGGAATCTGCTTGACTTCTACGCTTACCCGATGTCTGGGACCCGAATGTCCAGGCGGAAGTCCGGACTCGGATGTTAGGGACCTTTGTCTTGTCCCGAATTCTGGACAACTTTATTTCTTAAAAATATATCTGTTTTCACTGAAATTCACTCTGATTTTATCACGAATTTGGAGATGACACTCAGCCAGAAGTTGTTTGTATCGGGGTCCTTCAATTTTTTTTTTTTTCTTGGTTTACCCCCCACCTTCTATTTTGTGCTGGGTCAGACAAGACCCATCCGGGTGGATGTATGGACCGGACATCGGGCCGGAAAATCCGGACAGCTGGGGTTTGTAGCATAGCTTGACTTCAAACGATTTCAGTGACTGTCGTAAACTTCCCTCGCTTGGGCCAGATCAGCCCTATAGCTGCTTCAATGTTTGCATCTCTTTGTCTTGTTGGTTGATTGTGCATGTGATGTCGTGCTGGTCAGGTTTGCCTTTGTCGGGTTCATTGCAATTCTTTTTCTTTTTTCCCTTTTTTTCTCTTTTTTTTTTCTTTTTTTCCTCCATGGTATCCTTCTCTGTATCATTCCACTTTGAAGTTTGACCGGATGTCCTGGAGGACGCTTCATTGCAATTCATAATGAGCCTTGGCACACCACTCACCGAATGTGCAAAATGAGAGTGAACCTTCTGCTAGAACATGCAAATATACACTGCCATTGTTTTTGTCATTTTCACATATTGTGACAGGTGCGTCAGGGCCCAATATTCTGCTTACCATTCAGTTGAAAGGATTTCACGCTGCTCACGTCCCAAGTTCCGGTCCCAGAGTCCCAGTTGCTCCCTGTCTCAGATGGTCCAGCTCCCATGAGGTGCCGATAGGCCGAGTCCCAGGCTAGGGTCTGTAGATCTGGTATGCTATAGGTCGACGCGCCGTAGGTCAAGTCAGGCCGGTGCTGAGGACTCAAGCCGTTAGAAGTTCAGTCCGGTACCCGACAAGAAAGTCCAGTCCCAAGTCCAATTCTGCAGCAACGTCCCAGGAAAGTCCGGAACATACCAGACTTACAAAATGAATGCAGCAGACAGGCCACGGGCAACCAGTACCGGTCAGAAGCAGTCCCCAAAGAATGCCGTATAGGTTATATTTCCTCTTGGGACTACAGCCTGAAAGGTAGTAGTGAATTAACAAAAAAAAAAACGCAAAGAAAGAAAAGGAATCTAAGAAAATGGGATGCATCATAGCACTACAGTTGCAGAGTGATAGAAGCATTTGAGAGACCGATCTCTTTTGTGTGTGTGTGTGTGTGTGTGTGTGTGTGTGTGTGTGTGTGTGT